TAAATATTTACATAGAAGATATTGAATGGGAGAAGAGAATTTTTTTTTTTATGTAGCTTCTGATCATACATGTTGGTTGGCGGCCAAAAAAAAAAAGAACCTTATTCATTAAGTATCAACACTGCACATAAGCAAATTATTAAAGGTTTGTGTTATAATCATAAATTAAAACATTGTAAAAACTTAATGTACACTGTGTGTAGGCTCTTTTAATAAATGATGTAAATAACGACGACAAAGCAATTTCATTAAAAAGCAATAAAGCTTTCCAGCTAACCTTATTTTTCTCTTTACTTACTGCTCTAAAACTATTTTAAAAATTAATTCTCGAAGTTACTTGAAAACTTGTATACACCAGGGACCAGGATACAAACGACAGAGACTCTTTCACAAACTGAAAAACTTGTGTAGGAATAATATAATAATTGCTGTTGAAACTGAATCCAAAGGCGTAGCGAAGGGGGTGGGGTCAGGGTGGGGTCAGGGTGGGACAGATGTCCCCGGGCGCCAGCTTGTTACGGGCGCAAAAATGTGCTTTGATATTATTTTATTGATGAAAATAATGGGTTTGAGAGTTGGAAAAAAGAAAAAGGGGCGCTTTAAAATGGATCTTGTCCCCAGGGGGCGAATCTTGTCCCTGGGCGCCAAATACCCTCGCTACGCCTCTGACTGAAGCGCTACACATTATTTAGAAAGGTCTTTATTGCGGTAGCTAAACCTTTCCCAAAACCACTAATCCCCATTTTTAATGTTGTTTTTAAACTCGATTTTTTTAGGAATTTTAAATCTACAAACTGCAATTCATTTTTGTATAATGTTAGTACGTAAAAAGGACTATGTAATTTATACTTAAGTTTTTAAAAAAATGTTAAACAATTCTAAGTAAACGATTATTATAATAAATCCAGAGGTGCTGGTTGAAACAGTGCCAAAATAGCAAGAGTGGGAAAATTATGAAATTAGAGAAGTTGTTAAAGATATTTAAAAGAAGTATGTGTATGCTTAAATCTATAGGGGTGAGAAAATTAAATATGCACAGCTGGCAGATTGGGATTCGCTGTTTCGTCATCAGAACAGGAAAGCAGCTACGCGCAAGGCAGTCGTTAACACGGCAACCCGAGACACCAACATCACGCCATTAAAAGGCGCTGAGTTATAATTAACGTTGTCGTCGTTCATGCCATGCGCCTGCGTCGTCGTCATCTGTGACATCGTAAGTTGCATCATCTTCTTGAAGACCTCTGTCTCACAGGACGCCATCATGGCCATCATCTCGTGCCCTGCGTGGTGCGTCATCAACATGTCCACCTGAATGGAACAACAATAAATAAAATACACTTGGAAAAAAATTCTAGAGTAGAGTTCCCCGGAGACCTACATAAAAAGGGGACCTCTTTATCGTTATTTTCTATTTGAACATAGTATTATATTTCTACACAGAATTTCTCTGCGTAATGCATTTTAATAAATTTTAATTTATTTTTTACTTTTTAGTGCGTTTAAACTCGACTTTGGTGTCACGTTAGAAATGGCGTCAGCGGGCCGTCGAGCTTATGCCATCCCCAAAGCAACCCCTACCCCAAAGCCCAGTATCGGGCCGCGAAGCGGCACGTTGGAGATGTCCCTTTGCCTGGACAGCCCCCACCCGAGTCCGCTCGATCGGGTTTCGCTGGGGGCCGCTCCAGACAAAGACACCCGGTCGGTCCGACACTGTGTTTGCACACATAGTGCACACGATCGACTTTCTCAGGAGTCTGTATGGTAAGATTTACGTCCTTATATCTTCCCCCACCCATCCCGGTGAAGAGTGGGACGCCCTTTAAGATGGTTTCTACAATGGGTTTCCACCACGCAACTAATTTGCGAAGTAGCTGATACGAAACGGTTGCCTTGGAGCAGCTTCTCATGGCTGCATAATGAGAATCATCGGCCAGAGATTACCACCTTTGTATCTAGCCTCATAGCCATTAACGGCAACATTCAATGATGATCCCTACCATGTCTCTACCTTTACTTCCAACTGTGAAGCGTCATAGTTGGCAGCCCTGTAGAAGCCTTTTATTCCGAAAGGTACCATGCATGCCCCAGGTCTGCCCACGCGGGACACGCAAAGGTGTTCTTGTTACCCGGGTAACGTTGAGGGGGTCAGTGGCCTAATCGACAAGCCACCTCAGACTTGTCAACCGCAGCCCCGTGTGAACTCGTCTTTGATAGAAATGTTATTTTTTTTGTTTTTTTGTTGTTGTTTTTTTAAAGATTTTTTAAAAAAATATATTTTTTATTTGCTACTTTTTAGTATTATAATTTTAATATGCTTATTATCGACAAAAGAAGTATTATTTATTTGATTTTTAACGCCCCATAAATCCCCATATAACATACAATCCCCTTTTTTTTTTGGTACCACGCCGTTCACTGAACGAAGAAGACAAGAAGACGCGGTGTTGACACAACTCAGATGCAGCGAGATGATTAACTAAGCGAAAAGATAACTCGCGTAAACAAAAACATTACCACAGACCAAAAAAGATGGAAATGCGAGTAGAAAGAAAGTCTTTATCGTAGATAAGTATAGATTAGAATCAGCTACAGTGACATAACGCCATAGAGCCTATACGATTTAAGTACGTTCGGATTCCTAAAAACAATGATATATATTTTCTATTATTTTACGGAAATCAAATGAATTTAAAAGCGCAAAAAAAAAAAATATAATATAAATATATATATATTTTAAATCCTCTTTTATTTTCTTAAAAGTTAAATTATTTATTATAAATTACAAATACATTTAAAGTATCAACTAAGGAACAATTTTAAGCATTTTATGTGTTTGAAAGTTATTGGAAAATAAAAATCATGATCAAAGAATTACACCGTAACCACATTTATCGGGGAAAACCCAAGTATCAGTCGTGTTTAGTGCGTCTTTTAGTGCGTTGATAATATAGCGAAATAAAGTTAAAATTAATTTGTTCTAAATAATCACGCAAATGACGTCATAGCCTATTTCACCAAAAATGTTGGGTTTCTTTAAATTTAATAACTGCGCGTGACAAAACTGATGATGTATTTTCCCCTCTTAAAAGTAAAATTAATAAATAAAATTGATTGCTTTTTAAATTGTTAATTAAACACACAAAGTTTTGCATTTTTTATTCCCAAAATATACTTTTATTAAATTTATAACGTAAAAAAACCTAACCTCTAAATATAATTCTAATAAGAAAATGCGGTTTAAGTCAATCAGTGCAGCGCAACTCCATAGCAAATAGCATTCACTAATCCACTGATAACTCATATGAATGATAACGAACCATATGAAGTGCAAAATATGTTAGTTTGGGTATGGGAGGGATTAAATTTATTTAAATCTGGGTCAGGGAGGGGTTGATCACTTTGCCCCAGGAAGCTCAAGATACGTCTCGAAATAAAAGAATGAATTCGATAAATAATTAACATTCTTGAGTACATTCATATCGGAGGTGGGAAATGGGGTGTGTACAGTTTTACGTGGTTGACAATATATTTAAATCCTATGGTATTACATTTGTGAAAAAAATAAGATGTTACATTCTCTTTTTACAAATATTGTTATGTTCATTTTGCCCAAGGAAATACAAGATACGTCCCAAAATAAAGGAAGTAATTTGATTAATAATTAACCATCTTGGGTACGTACATTATCGCAGATAGGAAAAAGGATGTGTACATTTTTACGTGGATGCCAATATATTTAAATCCCATTTGTGAAAAAAGAGATGTCAAATTCTCTTTTTACAAATAAACATATTATGTTTACCAATTAAGAAAATCAACGGCGTTAACAAATCTTATCTTAGGTGCATTTATATAACTATATCCATGAATATCAAAACCCAATCATTTTTACACAATGGAAAATTAAATTTTGACAAATGAAGAAGGGTTAATATTTTCTTCTTTTTTTTTTTTTAAATGAAACTATATTTTTGTTGTTACTTTGCAAAAAGTAAAGAGGTGTGTATTTTTATGAGATTGACAATTTAATTTTTTAAAAGACAGTCAAATCTGCATATAGGCGTAAACAACAGTTGCGAGATTCTTCTTAGATAAAAAAATTCTTTGTTTTACGATTTTCTGATTAAGTATAATTTTAAAAAAATGTTAAAAGAATATGTATAAAATTTTGAGGAAGATATCAATATATCGAATTCCTGTAATAAAAAATATATTTATATCATATATAGAGTTTTTATTGTAAATTTAAGATTAGGTTTTTTAAAAGTTTTGAGAGAAAAAAGTTGTAATTCGAGGCCCCCAAAATGGGTAAATCTTAAGTATTTCTCGAGCGTAGTAATTGTCCCTCAATTAACTTCCTTAGTGACAAAAGTGATATAATTAGTAATAATTTAGACTGGGTAATGTAAGGTCATGTTTAGAGGTGTAAAAGAAGTCTACGAGCGTGAAAGGGAGTAAGGTACGCGAATCTTATATAGCAGATAAAACACTTCTCAAAACTTAATGATGTTAGAAACGTAAATATCATTACATTTTAAAAGTTATGAATTGGGATGAGTTTTTACAATAGTAGTTAGAAATTATCGCAAAGGACCCACATCGGGTGATTTATTCTAGTTAATGATTAAACTTGTCCAAACACACAAGCACATACCCAACTAACCACAAGAGATTAAATATCCGCATGCTAAAAATAATAATGTTTAACATAAATTGCACACAAGCTATTCGCACGGAGAGTGGTAAAGTCCATCTAAAGCGCGATCCATTTAGTGGACCAACATTATCGCGTTATAGTGGTATTACGTTACCTGTATAAATTCATAGAGTTCTCCTCGCAGACAAGGGTTGTTGGCCTTTTCCTGGACCAGGAACTGGACACATTCATCCAGGCAAGGACTAAACTTCTTACAGTTCTTCACGAGATCGTGATACAGGCATGAACCGGCCACGATGTCGGGGTCCGTAAAGTCGAACATTTGTGGACAGCCGTATTTGGCCCCCGCTTGAGGATCACACAAGCTATAAAACAAATGATGATGAGAATTAATAGTTGAAGGAGGTTGTTCCATTTATGATATAAACATTAAATGGGGAGGAGGATGGTTAGGTTAAAGGTTCTCAACCTTCATAATGCCGCGACCCCTTCAATACATTTCCTCATGATGTGGTGACCCCCAACCATATAATTAATTGCTACTTTCTAAATATGTGTTTTCCGATGGTTTAAGGCGACCCCGGTGTAAGACGTTCGACCCCAAAAAGGGGTCGCGACCCACAGGTTGAGAAACGCTGGATTAAAGAGTTTTTTTATGCGTATGGCTGCCAATGGAGAAGGATCTCACTTGTATGCGTCGAAAGAAATATTATATAAGCCAGTCACCGAGTCCTATCCCAATGATGTCGTAATTGCAACAACAAAATCATTGTCAAAACTAATATAAATATATGTGTGTAAAAGCGCAAATTTGTGTTTTCCATGGCTGGAACCAACAACAGATTTACAAGAATAGTGTAGTAAAGTGGAACCAACAACAGATTAACAAGTATAGTGTAATAAAGTGGAACCAACAACAGATTTACAAGTATAGTGTTGTAAAGTGGAACCAACAACAGATTTAAAAGTATAGTGTAGTAAAGTGGAACCAACAACAGATTTACAAGTATAGTGTAGTAAAGTGGAATCAACAACAGATTTACAAGTATAGTGTAGTAAAGTGGAACCAACAACAGATTTACAAGTATAGTGTAGTAAAGTGGAACCAACAACAGATTTACAAGTATAGCGTAGTAAAGTGGAACCAACAACAGATTAACAAGTATAGTGTAGTAAAGTGGAACCAACAACAGATTTACAAGAATAGTGTAGTAAAGTTGAACCAACAACAGATTAACAAGTATAGTGTAATAAAGTGGAACCAACAACAGATTAACAAGTATAGTGTAATAAAGTGGAACCAACAACAGATTTACAAGTATAGTGTAGTAAAGTGGAACCAACAACAGATTAACAAGTATAGTGTAGTAAAGTGGAACCAACAACAGATTAACAAGTATAGTGTAGTAAAGTGGAACCAACAACAGATTAACAAGTATAGTGTAGTAAAGTGGAACCAACAACAGATTTACAAGTATAGTGTAGTAAAGTGGAACCAACAACAGATTTACAAGTATAGTGTAGTAAAGTGGAACCAACAACAGATTTACAAGTATAGTGTAGTAAAGTGGAACCAACAACAGATTTACAAGTATAGTGTAGTAAAGTGGAACCAACAACAGATTAACAAGTATAGTGTAGTAAAGTGGAACCAACAACAGATTAACAAGTATAGTGTAGTAAAGTGGAACCAACAACAGATTAACAAGTATAGTGTAGTAAAGTGGAACCAACAACAGATTTACAAGTATAGTGTAGTAAAGTGGAACCAACAACAGATTTACAAGTATAGTGTAGTAAAGTGGAACCAACAACAGATTTACAAGTATAGTGTAGTAAATAATTTTAAATGAGTTATCTTTGTTTTCCATGTCTTTGGTACTGTGAGATGTGAGAGTTTATTTCTTAAAAGGCGATAGATACTAAGAGCCCACCCAGAACATGGCGTAGTATTCACCTGATGTCTGGACCACCACTCAGGCACAGCTCGCTCTTCACATTCTGCTTAGGATAGTAAAACAAGAAGCCGAAACACATCTCGTCCGTGGCGCCCTGGCCCCTGACCGTAGAGTGGTTCCTCCTGGCGGTGGAGTAGGTGCATGTTGTGACGATCTCGTCTCCCGGCATGAGGACCACTGGGTTGTTTGTACTGCATATGAAATAAAATATGAGGATACATTTTTGATCAATCGTTTAACATTAAACGTTTAAAAACTTCAAACTTGAAATCTACTAAATAACAAATAAATATACTCATATCTCAAAAGGTAACTGGCTTTACGTAATGAAGACATTTAGCTTGTCATTGTATTTGCTTTGGAAATTGTGTGTAGCATGCGATAAATTGAAAGATTTAAATGGTATTATTAAAGTGGACAGCTGGTTCTAGAGATGAACTCTGTATGTGTCATGGATTCCTAAAGTGGACAGCTGGTTCATAGAGATGAACTCTGTATGTGACATGGATTCCTAAAGTGGACTGCTGGTTCATAGAGATGAACTATGTATGTGACATGGATTCCTAAAGTGGACAGCAGGTTCATAGAGATGAACTATGTGTGTGTCATGGATTCCTAAAGTAGACAACTGGTTCATAGAGATGAACTCTGTATGTGTCATGGATTCCTAAAGTAGACAACTGATTCCTAAAGTAGACAACTGGTTCATAAAGATGAACTATGTATGTGTCATGGATTCCTAAAGTAGACAACTGGTTCCTAAAGTAGACAACTTGTTCATAGAGATGAACTCTGTATGTGTCATGGATTCCTAAAGTAGACAACTGGTTCATATAGATGAAATATGTATGTGTCATGGATTCCTAAAGTAGACAACTGGTTCATAGAGATGAACTCTGTATGTGTCATGGATTCCTAAAGTAGACAACTGGTTCATAGAGATGAAATATGCATGTGTCATGGATTCCTAAAGTAGACAACTGGTTAATAGAGATGAACTATGTATGTGTCATCGATACCTAAAGTAGACAACTGGTTCCTAAAGTAGAGAACTGGTTCATAGAGATGAAATATGTATGTGTCATGGATTCCTAAAGTTGACAGCAGGTTCATAGAGATGAACTCTGTATGTGTCATGGATTCCTAAAGTAGACAACTGGTTCATAGAGATGAACTATGTATGTGTCATTGATTCCTAAAGTAGACAACTGGTTCCTAAAGTAGACAAATGGTTCATAGAGATGAAATATGTATGTGTCATGGATTCCTAAAGTGGACAGCTGGTTCATAGAGATGAACTCTGTATGTGTCATGGATTCCTAAACTGGACAGCTGGTTCATCAGATAGATTCCCTAATGTGTCACAGACGCGAGCTTCGGACAATGGATTTATCAGGTTCCCTTTATTTATCAAGTACATTGACTTACCATGAACAGTTCTAATTTTAAAAAAAAATAATAACTTACTAGCGATGCATATCGGGTTTGTCGTAGTTGAACACAGTATCATTGGTCAGAGCAGTGAGAAATGAACCTTTTCTGAACACTTGGATGTTCATTTTGATTCCTGAAATCACACATAATGATTTCCGGTTTTAAGTTAAGAATTATCCGGCACTGTGTGAAGCCATTACAAATAAAAAAATTGTCTTAGATCCTTAACCTCAAAAATATGTGTATCAATTGTATGTATATGTTCTCCCATTCTCTTACCACTCATGTATATTAAAGGTTGTTTCTATTACTAAATATTAATGTTTCACCGTTCAAGACGGCTTTGGTTTTTAATTCAGAAAATGCATCGCATAGATCGTTCCTCTTAGAACTATTTCTAAACATACGACGGGAATTACATTGTCATACATATGGCATATCAATTTGTTTATCGACCCTTCATGCATAAATGTGGTCATGCACATGCGCGCCATTTAGAATTACAACTGCTTACCCAACCTGTGAAATGCATGTGTACATGTACTGACGCGCCAGGTACAATTACAACTGTTACCCACCCGTGAAGTGCATGTGGTTCCAGGCTACGGTGACGCTCACGTGACCTGTGAACAAATTCTGAGTGCATCCCGAGGTGCACGTGCTCTTAACGGAAACCGCGTCCTGTTTGGGGGGCAGCAGGAACGAATTGGACCCAACAAGGAAAATACCAGCGTCGTAACTTCGCCTGGGAACGAAAAAAGAGATTGGGGGGCAGAGAGTTACGAAACACGTTGACAAGCGAATAACGCATCAGCTTATTAAAATGCATTTTGAAAACGTACGAAGTATCTAAACCATAATACCGTTAAAATTTGCAGTATGTCTTCAAGCGAGCTGTTAAATTTTAAAAGCTTAAAAATTGAAATATGTATTTCAGTAGATATAAAATAAAGTAGTGAAATAAATGTGTAAAATACATTATCTTCGTTAATGAGAACGGTGCCATGCGCATGCGCATAGAGAGCTGCCATTTGGCGTTAAAAGATTACAAAGACGTAAAAAATTTATAAAAAAGAACAACCAAAAGTTCAGTTATGTCAGTATAAGACTTAGTTAAGTAGCTTCAAAACAGACTGAAGAAGTACATCAGTTTATTTTGAGTGTTCTGTATATTTAAATTACCGTTAGTATTTTATTCGACCCTTAAATCAAACTAATAAAAACCATTAATAATATACCGACTTCTTAAATACGTTGAACTCAAAACTCCAAGGCGTGCCACGCACACGACTCACCTGATGGATGTGTAGTACAAAATCAGACCCGAGGTGTCCTCCCAGTCTGTCCTCTTGTCTGGGTTGCTCCAGTGAACCTACGAGGAATGGTATAAGTCAATGTTTACATGATCATAGACCAGTACGCGTCTTATTCCACCAGAATGAAATTTTCGGTAAACAAACCTGCGCCCACCAAAGACCACCAAAGTTTGTCCAGGATTGATTGCTTATGTAGGAAATACAAATGTGTCATTTATAAATTGGGGTGTCAATAAATTGAGACCATTGGGGGGGGGGGGGGGGTTCGGGAAAAAGTGTTTACATAAATGGATTCAATTTTTTATATTTTTAATTTATTATCATTATTTTAAAAAAAATATATATATAATTTATTTATTTTGGTGGGGAATGGTTTTAGAAACTGATCATATTTTATCGACCCCTACCCCTTTAACATAATATAACCACTCCCTAGTATGACATAACCTTTCAAGCAATCAACTCCCACACACCCCGATAAAACTGAAAAAGTCCAAGCAACGGGGCGGAACAAGCAAATTTCAAGCTAAACGGCGGATTTTTTTTCTTTTCCAATGAGCAATAAATACATTTTATTGTGTAATAATCCAGGACAGTTTCGTTAATATAACCCAATAAAACCAAAGTGATTTAGATTTGGATAAGACTTCTGTTCACCTGCTACATTTCAAAACGCATTCATTACACAGATACTACTTTTGTCCCTTCTATACAATTTTTTTTTTTTTGTCATGATAAGCTACTGCCGTTTATGAATTTATATTTAAGACAAAATAATGTTTCTTTTTAAATAGTGCGTAGACTATATTATCATCCATTTTATAATAACACAGCAACAAGAAGAACACAATCGAAAGCACAAACAAATGCAAATCTCTTGAAAAACCACCTGATGAACATTGGATTCCGTCCGATAAGTTTATTAATTCGCATTGCATTTGACGCTAAACCCACAAAATGGCTTTACAACAAAAAAAAATGTTATAAATAGTTTTCACCTGAAATGCCAACTTCTTGAATCCGGAGGTGCCCAGCAGCCTGATGCCGGTCTTCGGGTCGTAGCAGTCCCCCGTGACCCCCACCGTCCACACGCTGAGGAACTCCTGGCACTTGTTGTTGGCGACCAGACCGCATTCGAACAGCTCGGTCGTCTCCGGTTGGTCGTCTGGTGGGGAAATAAATCAATGTCATGTGTGCCAACCGGCTGCAGCCGTTGAATGGTTATATTCTTGTGCCAACCGACAACAGCCGTTGAATGGTTATTTTCTAGCCTTTGTGGTTATATTTGATTAAAGACTACATTTATGTCGCTGTTCGTTGTTTTTGGTTTAATGAAAAGCTGGATGAGTGGAAAAGTCGTGTAGTTCTTATTAAATAACTTCCCAGGTAGGAGTTCTGAATGTTAGGCCATAATGTCAGAAATGTTTGACTTTGTTTCGGGATTTTAAGAAAGATAGATATTTTTAAAACTTAAAACCCCTTTTCTTTACCAACAGGACACAGCCATGGGAAAGCTGCGCCACTGGGAGGAGCCTAAAAATGCACCCCCCCTTCCTCCCACTGGTTTCATCAGAACGTTGATCCCAATTAGTTGAGTAACAATTTTTTTTTTAAAATTACAATTTATAAGTAGTCTAACCAGGGCCGTATGAAGCGGTCTGGGCATATTGGCATGGATTGGCTCGCCCCCCCCCCTTCCCGGCTGGCTCTCTTTATTTTTGTCAGGGGTGGCATTTTCGGTTTACAGCTACGAAAATAAAATTAATTAATTTGAAACAATTACGCGGCGTATAATTTAAAAAAAAAAAAACAACTATTTTCTTTATTTTTGTCAGGGGTGGCATTTTCGGTTTACAGCTACAAAAATAAAATTAATTAATTTGAAACAATTACGCGGCGTATAATTTAAAAAAAAAAAAAACAACTATTACTTATTATCATTAGAAATCGGCAACATTCAATAAATTCTATAATGTTATTGAGAATAAGTTCAAAGTGATATTTTCGGAAAAAAAAAGTAGCGAGTTTTTACAAAACAAAGTACTTTTAAGCAAAAAATCAATTAAGCAGAGACTAATAATGAAGAAGAACAAAATGAAGATTTTAAATAAAAATAATAAACAAATTTTTTGTCTTCTTGCATCCGTCCGTCACAGTGGGACGATGGTGTTGACTTGTCCGTCACAGTGGACAGTAGTGTACACTTGTCCGTCACAGTGGACGATGGTGTAGACTTGTCCGTCACAGTGGACGATGGTGTAGACTTGTCCGTCACAATGGACGATGGTGTAGACGTGTCCGTCACAGTGGACGATGGTTCAGACTTGCCCGTCACAATGCGACGATGGTGTAGACGTGTCCGTCCCAGTGTGACGATGGTGCAGACTTGTCCGTCACAATGTAACGATGGTGTAGACTTGTCCGTAACAATGTGACGATGGTGTAGACTTCGCAGGACGAAATCACAAGGCCTGGGTTTTTTCTTTAAGATGAAAAGCTGGTTCCTTCGAAATTAAATCATCTCTCTCCACGCATCGGGATAACACAAGGGAACATCGTGTGGGGATGATACAGCTAGGCACCATTAGCGTTGCAGGAGTTGCCAGAGTCGTTCATTGTGTCAGTGTTATCCGCCTTACGGCACACCATCTCCGGGTTTGAATTCAGTGTTTGCTTTTTTGTTGTTTTGTTTTTGGCTGGGTTGCCATCCAAGTTTAACGAGTCCCATCTCCCCGGGGTGATGGTGATGTTTTATGCTTGCCAGGGCTTTGGTGGGGATTGAACTCCAGACCACCAGCTTTTTTTTGGATTGACTCCGTTTATACCGCTCGGCCACCCATCTTTAGTTTACCGGAATTCGCCACCCTTTAACAAAATATTTCTCAGGCGTCCGCCTGTATCGCTTACAGTTAAACCCTGCACTGGCCTTATGACGGCATGCCCGAGGTGTTGTTTTTCACTTTAATGGATAGAACTAATTAATACAGTTTCGAAACTCTTATTTCCAAAAACCTTTTCTTTACTAAATCTTGTGCATTGGCAAACTCATTGTTGCTACTCAATTCTTGGTCGAGATCTCCAAGACAACAGACTCAACTCGAGTCAATTCTATAGTTAAGGAACACCGCCCACATGTTTACCTTCACACCCGAATAGAACCATGTGATGGAGGGCGTAGCCGTTGTCCACGATGGGTTCCACGGCTGTCATGTGGTAGTCGCCTGGGGGTAGAATCTTTTCTAGGTCAATCACCTGGCACAGGTAGGACGTTTCCTGCGGTGGGATTTTAGTACCAGGTGGATGACGCAGGGTGATGTTTCTCATTCCTGGTAAAAAAAATAAAAAATTAATTGGCTAATAATTAAAATGGGAGAAATTGTTTTTATAAAAACAAAAACAAAATATATTTTAAAAAAAAACAAATTTCTGAATATTTGTATTAAAATGAATAAGGCAAACAACTTATGAGATCACAGTAGTGAATTAGAATTTGTGACGTCCTTAGAGGGGCAGGTAAGGGTCTTAACTTTTCCGTCCCATCAATCACGAAAACTCAAAACAAAACAGAAGACACATCAGTCACAAACCTTAAATATAGCCTATCTATAGGTTGGACTGACCCACTCCACCACCTATTGGGATCTTCCATTAAATGACGTCCCGCCATTTCGACCAAATTTTACGTCCCTTCTCCCCAATTTTTCCCATTATCAAAAATTTTACATAAATTAGAAACACATCGTAAAAAAATGAGTGAATCTCACCTTTCTCCCCCTTCCCCTTTTTATTATAGTCGCGTGATGTTCATTATTGATAACGACTATGCTTACGCCAGGCGTTTGGAGTTACTTTCCCCACCAACTTTGGACTCCGAGCACTGCTCATACACGTCAACCATTCGCCACGTACCTGCTTCATGCTTGGCCGCACACATGAACTCATCAGACTTGCACGTGTCTTCGAGCCATTCCGACTGGGTGTTGTACACCGGGTGGGTCAGAGCCTTCTGCTGACATGAAAGAGAATCCCAAGGATCGCATATTCCTGCAAGTTAAAAGTGGAGTAAAATTATAACAAAATTATATTGTCGAAATGCAATGCCCGTTGGTCTATTGCATGGAGGAAAGTTAATTTGAAGCTTGTTGTGATTGACTCTCTAAAGCAGGGGTTCTTAATCAGGGGGGGGGGAGGGGTCCGCACCCCATTGGGGAGGTAGTGACAGGGGACGACGGAGGACCAAGAAAAACAGTTGTTTTTTTGGTCTTCTCATTAGCCGCTAGCCGTTCTCTATCGTTAAGAGCATGTCTTCAAATGAGATGGGTTTGCTGGCATCGTTATGAAATCAAGACGGGTTGCGCTGCTACCCAAATTGTTAAGACGAAAATAGACACGGCCTGACCAAAACAAAACAAAAAAAAGCCAGAGGTAGTCAAAAACGAAAGTAAAACAATGTCACATTTAGATTCTATTCCTTTATACAAGTGTGTCGCCAGGGGGATTTTTTTTAAATATTTTTTTTTGTTGGGGAGGAGGGGGGGGCGAAGGGGGAGATTCTGCAGTAGTCCAGGTGTCCCACATTAGAATCTATCCTGCTTGTATCCTGCTTGTAGAAACGGATTTTGAACAAAAAATGTCATCTTAAAGCTACTTATTTCTTTATTTTCACTCAGTTCTTCTACAATCTACATCATTTTTTTTTATTAAACCACTTTTTTTTTGTGTTCTTAAAAGTCAAGCTAATTCAGTCCATTTATATTTTACTGACCGGGATGGGATAGTCCTGTTGTACGCGTAGGTAATGTATTAGGTTTCCAAATGCAGTCAGGGTCACCCAGCTCTTGACCATTGGTTAGTCCATCTCCGTCTGAATCTTTCTTGCACAAAGCCGATGTCCATTGCTGTAATCGAAAAATTACCTTTTATATTGTTAAATGTACGATCCTTGAAACTTTGTTTATATATGGAACTCTTCTTTCATTGCCTATGTCTATTTCCTGGGACACTTCTGTTATTGGACATGTCTACCTTTCCCTGGGACACTTCTGCCATTGGATATGTCTACCTTTTTCGGACACTTCTGTTAGTGGATATGTGTGCCTTTTAATGGGACTCTTCGGTCATTAAATATATCTACCTTTTTCTGGGACCATTCTGTCGTTGGATATATTTATTTTTCCCTGGGACTCTTCTGTTATTGGATATATCTACCTTTTCCTGGGACTCTTTTATCATTGGATATGCCTACCGTTCCTGTCATATTCACATCTGCAAGCCGAGTTTGTCTATCTCTGTATTTTTGCTATTGATGTCTTCTTGACAGAATCGTCCACCTTTTTTATTGTCTTTCTTCAGGTTTTCCTCTACTTATCACGTATATTACTTACTGCTTCAACCTGTACGAAGTCTTTCCGGTTGTTATTTCATCTGGGGCAAGCTTTTATGAATCAATTTTTTGCTTAGGGTAAATTTCTTTCATCAAGTATATCTCCAAACACATCATGTTCTCAGTACATCATTCCTTCAGCTTTCACTATGCATAATAACTGCCGATCCATAACAACAAACAAAGTCGTCTCTCGTACCAAACAAGGGGCATCAACCAAAAGCGCACACTCCACACCAAATGCGCTCACTAACGAATCAAGTATAACAAAACACGAACCACAATGCACGCTCATGAAACAAATTACTAACAGAGGTAAACTTACGATCCTTCGAACATTTTACTCACATTTCCCGCTGCGTTGAAATCTGCCCCAAAATTATTCCTCAGGCCGGTGCCCACGTCCATGAAGTGACCAACCCCCTCCCAGGTGTTGAACGGCTTACACGGGTGGGGCACGTACTCCCCGTTGGGGATCTTAGCCCTGAAGGTCGAGTATGGCAGAGCACAGTGCAGGAGCACAGAGAGCAGAGCAAGCCTGTATAGTTGGTACATGAAATCATAGTTTAGTTTTGAAACTACCATGGCAGTTGTTCTGTCGATGAGTTTGTTATACCATCGAACTCAAACAGTATGCGTTAAAATATATTTATTAGCATACATTTTAATATACTCTTTTCCTTGGGTGCATTCACCTAGTGCACGTTTCACTCATTGTTATCAAATCGAAAGCGTGTGTATTCTTTAAATGTGCAATTTTTGTAACACAGTTTCCTGAATGATAGAGTTTTTTTAAAAAATACTTAGCCTGTATTTCTAAAATTCTCAACTAAAAATGTCTTTTAATTTCAGAATAATATTTGCCAAATCCATTTGCTTGCATTTGTTTTTAAAATTAACATGTTCTAGACAAAAATCCAGTAGAAATCGAAGAAGTAAAAAATATTTTTTGTGGACTAGCTTCTTGATTATCATGCCTCTTCCATCTTTTGGTACTAGATATAGAAACTTTTCTTCTTTCTATATTGTCAATTTAAAAATAAATTCTTTGGATTTGGTAAAATAATATGTGTTATTATGTGTTACTGAAGAAGTAATAAGTAATTTATCTGAAGAAAGTTATGGCAGTTTGAAATTTCAAATAAAAAATTCAATCAACTGAATGTTGCGAAATTGATACTTTCTTTTATTCGATTTACCGCAGATAAAATGACATATTATTAAATATATGATGTTTTTGTAAGAATTGTCATGCCTTATTAAGATAATAAAAACGTAATAAATACAATTTATAAAAATGACCATTTTAAAAAAAAAAAAAATCTATAAACCTTTAAAAAAAATCATTTTTTTTTTCTTTTTGGCTCAGATAAAACTTTGAAATATTTAAGAAATGTAATTATCATAATTAAGATTATTTACCAGTTGCTTTCAACATGTAAATGATGTTAACAGTGCTTTTTGTGATGAAAATCTTTTATTTTGGAAGGAATTTTATTTTTTTTATAAGTTGAAATTTAAGTTTTAACTAAGTCCAGTACCCCAAAAATAGTTAAAATAAAAATTAAAATATACTTTACTACTTAGTAGCATAAAAAATATGTTTATTATTGCAAAATCAGTTCAATGCCAGCCGCTGCTTGACTTTCCGAGGCCTCCTGCCACTTTTCAGGCCCATTTCCACTTGGGGTTGCAGGGCCCACATGATGGCTTTGAGGTCAAATGAAACCTAAATTTTTAACTTGTCAATCTCCCGTTGCTCTCCGATCAAATGTAAAATGGTGCAAAATTAAACCCAGGTGTGTGCTAAAATGCATTCTTGCATTCTGAAGATATCAAAAAATTTTCTGGGAAATATAAAGATTTAACAGTCGATACTAGGCTGGGGCAAAAATCATACCTTTAAGGGTGACAAATTTGGAATGACTTTAGTGCATGTTAGGCTTGGTTGAAGTTAGAGGTGGCCAATCTTGGCGCTCCCACCCGAAAAGCCCCCTCCTAAATTATCTGAAAGAAACATCAAATGCTCCAAAATGCATCTCTGCAATTTGAATAAATCAAACGCACTCCGATTTTGCTAGAGACTCTTCGGCACCATCAATTTCTGCTTCCCCCTTTCCCTCGCGCTGATCAATGTTACAGTACGGGGTTAACTCTAAGCTTTGTCAAATGATCACACGGAGCTAATTGAAAAAAAACCCCCGCTAAACTTAATTTAACTTATGCGATGTGAAGATATGGCACCGCTATCAATTAAAATATATTTCGTGTCAAGCGGTTGTAGAAAATTTACATTTATGCGCACCAGATAGTTAAGGTTCTGTCACCCGTACATTAAATATTTGAACATTCAAATTTTAAACAAATGTATCATTATTAGACGGGTCACAAATAAATCATTTTTTTAAAATAATATTTTTCTAATTCAATCTAATGTGCTTCATTTGATTTCTTTACCATTAAAAATTGTCATTTTTGATAATCGTTTAAAGTCAACTGAATCTAAAAATAAAATGATGAAAATATTTAATTAGCCTTTACAAATGTGTTAAAACTCCATTCTGTGTCAATGCCCCCCCCCCCAATCTTTTTTTTTTCAGCCTCCAACTTCCAACTAGTTCTACTTAGACTTGTGTCATTATTTTTAAAATTAAACTCTAAATTTTTTTGACCTTTTACTTAACTTTATAATTTGCAAGTGCTCCAAGAGTCTAAAATGGTCGACTGAAGAGATGATTTCAAGGCAAATATTATACACTTTGTTATTACTTGAAACCGTCTTAACAATTAGTCTTACATTTAAAAAAAAATAATTTGTGAAGAGCATTTTCACCTTTATTTATTTACCTGAAAATCATTCTTGGGGAGTCCCGAAAGCTTAGAAGCGTTCTCGTTTTACGACCAAATATTGTAAATGATACGAGAGCACAGCCTTGAGCCTTGATGCCAATTTGTAGTTCACTGTCAATTCGTATTTATATTTTGGCATTCGTCGCAACGTCAACCCGCGCCAAACATGGCGTTTAAGACGACAAGCTGGAGACTTGAGGGTTATATCACGATGTTGAATCGCGGCTCTGTGGTGAAACGTGGGAAGTCATCTTCTGTGCAACAACCCGTTCCCAGGGGCGATTCCGCTAGTTTAGAATGGGACGCAGGGATTACACACCCGTTTTCATTTTAATATAGGCGAATTACATATGTAATGCTCATATACTTTGGGGTAATGACGTATACTACTAAAATGTATGCACGCCCACAAGCTCATAGCAACAGCTACACGGGGAAATAATAGTTTCGACTGAAGGTCTTTTCCCGTTTGAAAAAAAGAGATAGAAATAGTAGAGTAAAATGGGGGGGGGGGGTGGCTCACCGCGATCAGCAGTTATTTTGGAGCGGAATTCTATATAAACGTATCAGCTGATTACTTATGTTTATCCTGCATGCATTGTGGTTTTCGTGAATTAATGATGGCTAAATCAAGGGACACCTCAAGCACCGGAGGTGTACTCAAAGGGTTTTGCAACCGGGAACAAGATTATTTTTTACGCCCCCCCACCCTTCTGAAACTTATTATTTTCATCAAGGAAATGGCACCAATGCCAATTTTGGCACCCCATTACCCTGGCTTCCGCGGACATCTGTCCCTCTTAGCTCCGCCTCTGCCAGCCATCACAAACTCAGTCTACTCCAGTGCAGATATACAGAAAGACCGAGACACAAACTCACAGGTACGTAGACACAAATTGTAAAGGAAAAACAAAATTTAATCGTTTACTTCTATTATATCAACTATTCGCTACTTTGGTGTACTTCAAATTGATGTCTTTATTTCAATAAAAACATAATAATTACCTTCAAGACACCTCTACCTGGCAGCCTGTTTGGTTATCAAAAGTAAGGTTATACTACTCTAATCCTTGCAGAGCTACCAAAGTCCCCCTAACCCCACCCTCTCAACTCGACGGTTTCCAGAGAAAGATGTCCTATGCATCTGGCGGTATCTTGTTTAAGGTCATCATTTCAAAGGGCTAGTTAAATTAATTTATAAATAACCGGCTCTGAGCAGCTTTTGGCATGCCAGCGACGATTTTGTTTCTCCATGCATAGACCAGAGTTTTATGTGCCAACATTAGAATTTTTAAGGATTTAACTTTCTGTTGTTTTAGAGACAGGCCATCCATTATGAGCTTGGGCAACTAATATTTTACATTTTAAAAGCTTGAGAAATAAACGCCTGCCCGGTATTATCTGACAGGGCAACAATGAAACGCCTGCCCGGTATTATCTGACAGGGCAACAATGAAACGCCTGCCCGGTATTATCTGACAGGGCAACAATGAAACGCCTGCCCGGTATTATCTGACAGGGCAACAATGAAACTCTTGAGACTTCCAAATAAAGCCAATATTGCTAATCATTCTGCTAAATTTTCACACACTTTAAAATTACTATTTGACTTAAAATTTTGTCATAAAATATTTTCTTTGCCCTAATTCATGATTTACTTTATAGTTACATTATTACATTATTACATTTATTATTGTATTTATTCTTCTAACAAGGTTTTTTTTTTTCTTCTCTTTTTTGTTTTTTTGTTTTTGGCCACTCGTCCCATCCCAACTCTCGAAACCACGAAAGAAACTTAATGTTACTGTGAACACTTGGAACAAAAGTTCACATGAAAATTTTTTGGGGTCATCACTGAACAGCGTGAAGTAGTCACTGCATTGAAACTCTGTGCTGACACTCTGTGCTGACACTTTGTGCAGACACTCTGTGCTGACACTCCGGGTGTTACAAAGAAGCCGTTTTCCTTGACAATAGAGCGATTTAACGGTACAAGCACTTCTTTCTGCCGAGATCTAGGACATGAATGCAGAGTCGAAAAAAAAAAAAAAGAAGTAAGAATACGACTTCGAACTTCGACTCCAGACTTCGAATACACGAGCCCGACTTCGACTCCAGCTTCCTTATGTGAAGTATCTCGTTAAAAAAAAGATAACGGTACAAGCACTTCTTTATGCCGAGAACTAGGAAATGAATGCAGAGTCGAAAAAAAAAAAAAAAGAAGTAAGAATACGACTTCGAACTTCGACTCCAGACTTCGAATACACGAGCCCGACTTCGACTCCAGCTTCCTTATGTGAAGTATCTCGTTAAAAAAAAGAAGTAATCAAAATTTAAAAAAAATTATGAACATTTGAATGACGTCATTGTCCTCCTGGACATCTAAGTATGTTTAGGATCAGGACATGGAGTAAATATCACGATTTCGACTCCGACAAAGACACTTTTGTGTTACAAATGTCGAAAGCTGTAATTGTAGGTTACAGGTAGGTCTCCACTGTGGATGGCCCTGTACGGAACAATCCTGGTCGTGTGTAGCGATACTTCATTATCTGAATATTCCATCTGTACAATGGCGAGCTCTGCGTGACGTCTGACTGTGACACAAGGGGGACATAATTCGCGAATTATTGAATGAATTAGTTTTGGAGTTCATCGGCGACTAACAGGTTTTTTCAGCACAAAATAAAATAAAAAATAAAAAAACGAAATTAATAAATAACATTAAAACAAATTATCATCCCCCTCAAGTTTGCTATATTTTTTTTTGTTTCACCATGTTTCAGTATCTTGGACAGCAGACAATCAAACGTAACAGAAAATAATAAGGAGAAATAATTAAGGAGTAACAATAATAAAGATGCGATCATTTATAAAATTAACTCTAGAAAACATCAATCATAATCTGACAATTCTTATTTCAATTGAAATGTCATGTGGCGCCTCCAGTAACAAACAGCTCTACAAGACGGCCTAGTTCCCCCCCCCCTGAAATGACGTCACTGCCTCAAACGTATAAAATAATTATAATTAATAATAAAACTTATTTGAAAATCACGCTTCATCCCCAAAGGCTCGAAGAGCGGTACAAAGTCAACCATATTAAAAAGAAATGAAAAAAATCTATATTTTACCACATTGACATGCACAACGCAACATGACAAAAATACATACGAGACTACCCATTCTAAGTCTTTCGTCCCTTGCAACCATAAACAACACAAGGCACTTTACATCTAGGAGAATATTGTTAGCTGGAAAAGATGGTAGACAAATTCACCCCAGCAGGTGTTTGCGAAAAAGATATGTTTTCAAATCGGTTTTGAAAGACTCCAGTGTCTGGCTGTTTCTGAGAGTGACAGGAAGTGTGTTCCAAATAGTTGAGCCAGCAAATGCGAACGTGCGCCGTCCGTAAGTCCCAAGGCGAACACGTGGTATCAAGAGTTTTCCACTGTCGGATCAGCAGAGTTGTCTATTTGGTACATAAGGCGCCATGAGTGCTTTGAGATAGGACGGCGCCAGGTCATGCAGGCAGCGGTATCACAGAGTTGCAATCTTGTACTCTATGCGAGCGCGGACCGGCAGCCAATGCAACTCTCTCAGAAGTGTTTTAGCATGGTCAATTTTGCGTTTGTGAGAAACAATGCGAGCCGCATTGTTCTGTACCTTATGAATTGTATTGGAAGACCCAACATGAGAGCATTGAAGTAGTCTAAACACACATAGTGATGTAACTGACCTAATTCCGCGTGGGGACAACTCCCGCCACACATACTTCGGATATACACATCTCGCTATCATTAAAATCAACTGACGTCACTATTGCTTTCGCTAAATGAAATTCCCGAAATGAGATTCTTAAAAATGCCGCAAACGCATTTGGTGCGTTAATATTTTCTTTGGTTTCACTCGAATTGTCTCAATTTCAATACGGTGTTATAAATCTGAGGCGGCCAACGATGGTGGGTCATTAGAATATTAATATAATTCAGGTCCGATGGCGTACCCGCGGGGGGAGGGGGGGCGGGGGGTAGCACTAATGGTGAATATTATGAATTGCGTTCCTTGAATAGATCTTTTGTCAAGTAACTTTAGTAGATGGGAAGTTCACGCTTTGCGGCCGTCATTGTTTGGCGGGCTTATAGCCAACTACACATATTTATTCTTGTTTGTGTGTGTTTAATGGATTAAGAACTCGGTGATGTGGGAACGTTTCGTTCGGCTTAAGTTCCCACGGATCTCTCTTAAGAAACATAACTTCTAAATATCTGGGGGGGGGGGT